AAAAGAAAAGAAAAGAAAAGAAAAGAAAAGAAAAGAAAAGTTAATGGTACAAGTGTCAGAACTTCAGGGTAGAATGGAGGGGAATCATGAAATGTTAAGGCTTTGGAGTCTTCTCAAGAGACCCCAGCCTCTTATCTGACTTTCTTAGTGTGGGGGAGGAAAAAGAATTTTCCCTTTACCCTTCTAGGTTCTGGCTGAGGCACCCTGTAATAAAAGACAGACTAACAAAGATAAAGCAATCAGAAGTTTAACTACATGGATACCTTCTGTGTATGTGGGAGAGACTCAGGAAAATTGAGTAACTCCCCCAAATGGTCCAAGCCACCACCCTAACATCAGCTAAAGACAAAAGAAAATGTTGGTGGGTGGGAAGGAGCGGTGAGTTGATGGGAGGTTACCAGGAAAACCCAGCAAACAGGGGCAAGGTTGTTATGTGGATTTAAGTCATTTCCCTCTCTTTTGATAAAGAGTTTCCAGAGATTTAGAGTCATCCTTCTTCCTGGTGCAGGGAAGTAATCTCCCCCTTATGAACGGAGATTTCCCTTAAAGGGTCACTTCTCAATTTCCAGAGCTTTTCCCGTGTCTGCTGTTTCTTAAGAATAATCAGCCTGGGGCGCCTGGGTGGTGCAGTCGGTTAAGCGTCCGACTTCAGCCAGGTCACGATCTCGCGGTCCGTGAGTTTGAGCCCCGTGTCGGGCTCTGGGCTGATGGCTCAGAGCCTGGAGCCTGTTTCCGATTCTGTGTCTCCCTCTCTCTCTGCCCCTCCCCCGTTCATGCTCTGTCTCTCTCTATCCCAAAAATAAATAAACGTTGAAAAAAAAAATTAAAAAAAAAAAAAAGAATAATCAGCCTGAAATAATCCTCACACCACAGAGACGTATTTTGGGGTGGCAAATTCTGCTCCCCTTCATTGGTTTTTCCCACCGGGTCCTCATGAACCCTCAACTCCACCGCCCCAACAAATGTTGCTGCAGTTTATTCAGACTATGGTGCAAATGACTGATAACGACTTAAGGTGCTACCTTTCTAAGTAGCAGCACCGATGGTGACGCTTCAAAGCCTGGTGTCTTGATTCAGACAGACCTGGACAAGCTACTCTGGACCTCAGTTTGTTAGCCTGTATATTGGGGGCAGTAACCTGAGAGTTGTAAGAATTGGATTGGATTGGATTAGACTGGAGGTCAGCAAACTAAGGCCCACCATGGGAAATTAATTTTTTTTTAAGTTTATTTATTTTGAGAGAGAGACAGAGAGAGAGAGAGAGAGGGAATGCACACAGGTACGTGTGGGGGAGGGTCAGAGAGAGAAGGGGACAGAGAATCTCAGGCAGGCTCCCCACTGTCAGCACAGAGTCCTGCCTGGGGCTTGGACTCACAAACCCTGAGATCATGGCCTGAGCCGAAATCAAGAGTTGGATGCTTAACCGACTGAGCCACCCAGCACCGGAAATTAAGTTTTACTGGGACAAAGACACACTGGTCTGCTTTGATATTATCTGTGGCTACTTTTATGCCAAACTGAATAGCTGACTGAGACTGTAGGACCCATAAAGCGTAAAATATTCACTATCTGGTCCTTTATAGGAAAAGTATGACAACGCTTAGATTATATAAGTTCATAGCTCCTAGTTAAATGCATCTTTTGCTTTTTGCCGAAAGGCAAAGCAGTGGTGGTGAAATTTTGGGGGGCTGGCGATGATGGAGAGAGGGACTTGAGGGGACATATCCAGGGGTTCCTAAAATGCCCTGCATGGGCTACAGTAACACCAGGATTATTTTCCTTTACTGAGAAGTTCCCACCTACTGCCCTGTTTGATTTAAAAAATTTTTTTAATGTTTACTTATTTTTGAGAGACGGAGAGAGAGACAGAGCACGAGCAGGGGAGGGGTGGAGAGAGAGGGAGACGCAGAACCCGAAGCAGGCCCCAGGCTCTGAGCTGTCCGCACAGAGCCCGACGCGGGGCTCCAACTCACGAACCTCGAGATCATGACCCGGGCCGAAGTCGGACACTTAACCGACTGGGTCACCCAGACGCCCCCCCACGTTTGATTTTTACAGCAACCTTCTGGGTGAGAGATCAAGGAGGGCTCATCCTGTGTCACGGGAGGAGTGAAGGGGCAGGGCTGGGTCACGCGGGGAAGATAGGGCTGAGTGGGACCTGGGACCTAGGCCTGCGAGTCCAGGAGAGGTCCCCCTTCTCCGTGTTCCTCGCCTCAAAGCCTCAGCCGTGGCCTAGCTCCTGGAAAAGGGCTTGTGCCCCCGAGGTGGCAGGTGTGGGAGGAACCCTCACGCTGAGTCGGCTTCTTACAGAGGCAGGAAGAGGGCACACGTGACGGGGCACAGCGGGCTGGCGGGCGGCCTCTGGGCGACAGCTTCTCCTGCGGCTCTGACCTCTGTCTCTCTTCCCATCCCGGTTGGCAGCCTTTGGCCCGGGCGACCTCCCCAACCTGCTGGGCCTGGTGGGCAACCAGCTGGGCGACGGGGAGCGGAAGCGGCGGCATGCCAAGGCGGGCAGCTACAGCATCGAGGTGCTGCTCGCGGTGGATGACTCCGTGGTGCGCTTCCACGGCAAGGAGCACGTGCAGAACTACGTCCTTACCCTCATGAACATCGTGAGTGTCCTCACGTCCCAAAACGGGGCGGAGGGGGGGGGGATGGCCACCAGTGTTGCTCAGGACATGATTTCTCTCGGGCCTGGTGTTGTCTGATGGATGCACTGCTCGCTCCCTAGCCCAGCAGTGACCCAAGCCTGAGCTGGCCTGACACCCGCCCCGGGCTGAGAGGCCCGTAGGCCATCGGCGCCGGCCCCTGGCAACCCGGGGCCTGGGGCCAGTGGGTTCAGGGCTGGGACACATTCAGAGCCTGAGGCAGGCGTGGCCAGGGGCTTTGCTTGCCCAGGAGTCGAGGGGCCTTCCCTGGGACTCCCCTTCTGGAGAAAATGCCCGATCCCAGGCCGGGAAGATTGGCCAAGGAGCCTTCAATCTGCTGGTGGGGGGGCCAGATCCCAGGTCCCGAAGGGGGCCTTTGTTTGGTGCACAGGGAACAGAAAGGTGGTTGTGCAGATTGACGTCTTCACCTGCCTCGGTAAGAGTTTCCGGAGACTGAATCATCCCCCGCTTTTGGTACAGCTACGAAATACCCTCACAGGCGGACATTTCCCTCATACATGTAAATGTCTCCCACGAAAGGGTAACTTCCGCTGGGGTTTTCGGAGCTTCTCATATGCCTGCAGTTTCTTAAAAATAACCGTCTTATGGGGCGCCTGGGTGGCTCAGTGGGTTAAGCGTCCGACTTCGGCTCAGGTCATGATCTCGCGGTCCGTGGGTTCGAGCCCCGCGTCAGGCTCTGTGCTGATGTCTCAGAGTTTGGAGCCTGTTTCAGATTCTGTGTCTCCCTCTTTCTCTGACCCTCCCCTGTTCATGCTCTCTCTCTCTCTCTGTCTCAAAAATAAATAAATGTTAAAAAAAATAAAAAAAAAATAAGCTGCTTATGGGGCTCCTGGGTGGCTCAGTCGGTTAAGCGGCCGACTCTTGCTTTCGGCTCAGGTCGTGATCTCACGGGTTCGTGAGTTTCAAGCCCCACATTGGGCTCTGTGCTCACAGCTCGGAGCCTGCTTGGGATCCTCTGTCTCCCGCTCTCTGCCCCTCCCCCACGCACACTTGCTCTCTCTCAAAAATAGATACATGTTCAAAAAATAATCGGTATGCCAAAGAGGCATCTCTTGGGGCGCCCACACCGGCCCGCCTTCATTGTTCTTGGAGCTGTACTGTCTGTGTGTGTGTAGAAGTGGTCCTTCGTCTAAGCCTCTGAAGGGGTGGGTTGGGGTCTTGTCTTATACTTTTTTTGAGCCCCAGCTGAACACAGCACAGTCCCGGACCCCTAACGGGTGATGGGTATGTATGGAGTGGGTGAGTGGGTCGTTGAAGAAGCAGGGGACAGAAAGGTAGCAGGTTTGTGTCCATAATACGGGTGTAAAGAAAAGGGGGGTGGGGCTAGAAGTCAGATCCAATTACACTGAGCCCCAGGGAGGGGGGGACTGCGCCCCCGGCCTCCTCTTTGTTGGGATATGAATTCTTCTGTCCCTTAAGGAGCCTGACGTGTGGGACTCTTAAGAGCAAAGGCTACCACGTTGGGCTGTTTGTGAGGCAGGGCAGGTGATTATGAATATGGACACACCCACCTCCCTGGAGCCCTTGACCACCCGCCCAGACTCGGTAGATGGTTAGCCCAACCTGAGGCCACACAGCCCAGTACTGATCCCATCAGTGGGAAAGCAGGGTTGGCCCCTGGAGCCAGCAGGTGGGGGCAGGGGAACGCTTAGGAAGCCCTCAGGTGCTGGGAGCCTGGGTCTTGGGTCCAGAGCGGGGGCTGAAGACCCCAGGAGTGTGAGCCTGTGAACCAGACCCCATTCACAGCCCCAGAGTCCTTCCGTTTGCTAAAGGATACTTTTCAGGAAAAGGTCAAATCCTGACGCTCATACAGAAATAAAAGCGGGCAAGTGTGAAAGATTTTAGTTTACTCACTCATCAGGGAGGGAACCAGGCAAGTGTTAACCACCCTTTCAGAAGAGAACCCTTCTGAAAGAAGGACCATTCTGAAAGAATGGAAACATTTACGATCAGGGATTTTGAAATGAATGTGCAAACAGAACGAAATTGGCTTTTTCACGGGGTAGAAGAGATTCGTGCATCTATAGACACTTTGCATTGTTATCAAGTATCCGGTTCTCAGTTGTAACGTAGCTTCTGTGGAATCAGATTCAGATAAGGCGAAAAGTGTCTTTTGGACACATAGTTTCAAGCAAGGTACACGTTATAATTATTCTCCGGGCTTGAGGCCTGGCCAGGGTCCCAGGTAGGAAGCCCTTCCCGGGGATGGCAGGGAGTCTGGTGGCCCGTCCGACTTATGGGCTGCGTCTTTGTTCCTGAAGCTAGAAGGCTAGCAACCTCACTGGGGACACACCCCTGGATTCTGGCTGTGTGACCATCCTAAGCAACTAAGTGGTGGGGCCTCCCCCACCTCCCCCAAGAGCTGGCCTCGCCACTGTCTCTCCCTTTCTAGATTCTGGCCTGGGAATAGGGGTGAGGAGAGAAGGCCTGGGCGGGAGTGGTGGAGGGTTGGGAGTCTGGGGAAGACCAAAGGCTCTCTTTCATGGTCTGTGGCCTCCCATCTGGGTGCCTCCAGTGAGCATTCTGTTGCTTTCTTTCTCCTTAAATGTGCGTTGGTTGGACTAAAGTGTGAGCAGGTCAGCAGGATCTGGAAGGGTGGGACAGGCTTCCCGGAGCCCTGCTTCCCAGCTGGCCTCACTCTCCAGTGTTGATGGTCGTGCGTTCATTGGTTCACAGCCAGGTGCGTCCCCCGTGCTGGGCATTGGGCATGATGGGAGTGGATGTTAGTCCGGTAGGGTGCTCGCTCGCTCTCTCTCTCTCTCTCTCTCTCTCTCACCTCCCTATTTGTCCTCTTGGTGATATAAGCCAATAGGAGCCAGGCTTTTTCTCTCCATGGCAGGAAACAGGCCCATTGGGCCACCCCAGGCCCCATACTTCCTGCTCCCAGGACACAAAGGCAAAGGAATCCCCCCGATGTTTCTAGGGAAGGCTGGCCTGGGTCAATCAGGTGGCTGTCCTTGACTAATTGCTATGACTGGAGGGTTGGCTTGGGTCCCCAGGTGGAGCCCAACACCTTGCATGGGGGCGAGGTGGAACAGAATCTCTTCCTAGATAGTGGGGAAGCCAAGCATGCAGACAAAAAATGGCTTCTATAGTGGAGGGCTCAGAGGAGTAGAAAATGGGGTCCCTGCCCTCAGAGCCTTTACCTTGCTGTGTGTCCCCAGACAACTGCAAATAACATCCCCTTGTAAGTCATTACCGTCATTGAGCAAGCACTGGGAGCCAGACTCCTTGTAAATGTGACTTCATTTACTCCAGTCTCCCGACTACCCCGTGAGAGGTCTGGCTATCCTGTCTCCATCTGTTCAAGCCACAGGCCTGGGGTCTGAGGCCTGCTCTGTCACTTTGGAGCCAACCCTCTTCACATGGCCTCTGCATAGAGGTCTGAAGCCTCATGCCTGGTAGTGCTGTCTCTGGCTGGTGACCCAGATGTCAGGGAGGAAAGACAACTTTCCCTCTATCCTCCTAGTTTCAGTTCCAGGGGCTTGCAATTTAAACTGATGAAAGATCATCATGTACAATACGTGTATTTGTGGGGATGCTTAGTGATGAGTCGCTCAAAGGGGTGATTTGAATTTGTAACTTATATACCTAAGGGGAAAGAGAGTTGGCAAAAGGCTTGTACGGTTAGGACAAATAGGCTTATTTAGGAAAGACAAGTAGGTTTTTAGGAGAACAAATGGGAAATAACGTTTGCGGTTACACTTGTTTATACTTTCTGTCCTTTTTTATGGTGATGAAGTTGCCCAGGAGAGGAGGGGGAAAGTTAGAAAGTGATGGGGAGGGTCTACAGGAGCTTGTTCCCCAAGAAGAATTGGGGGGCTTGATGAACCATACAAGGCGGATGGTTCGCCATAGGGGGATCTTCTGGGAGGTTGCGTTCTGATGTCGCAGGTGCGGAGGGCAGCCAGCGAGAGCTCTGGCCCACGTTGGTGAGTGGATGGGTGGCCAACCACCTCTCCTCCTGGGGGACCGGCAGCTCATCCTGTCCATTGTGTGGGAACTTTATTTGGCTGGGATGCTTGAAGCTCAAAGCACTAATTTCCTGAGGGATTTCACGCAGCCAGTATAAAGGGTGTCCCTTTGCTGTCCCCTTAAAGTGCCTGCCGGCCTGTGACCATTTCTGATCCTGATTTGCGGGGCCGGGGCTGGCCTAGCAGGATCAGGGAGAGATCCGATTCCCGGGATGTATGGTCCTATTGTGCTAACCCTGGAGGAGGGGGAGAAGCCGTTAGTGAAACCCTCAGAACCATCTGATGGGGCCCTGCTCACTGGCAGCTCTCAGGGTATCCTGCCTCTCAGTTTTCCTTTGCATTAACCTGGGGATGTGCTATAAATATTTATGCAACTGCACATGGTGGCAAGGACTCCCCCCCCCTTCCCTCCCTCACATGCTCGTGGGCCCTTGAGGGACTTTATTTGCCCGTGCCTCAGTTTACCCATCTGCACCAGGTCACTCTCCTTAAAGCGTCTTCAAGCCTCAGGATTAGGGAACCATTTGAGAGCTTTGAAACATAAAGAGCAGTTTTGTTCAGCATTTGGTGAGTGCCTAGTGTGACAGACCTCATTCTAGAAGCTTTGGTCTGGCGGCCAAAACAAGCCTCAGACCACGGAGTAGTTTGGGAACCGTTGAGGCCAGTGCTGAAGGAGCTTAGAGGAGGCAGCCGTCCCTGTGGACTGGAGGGAGAGGCTTGAGGTTTGGAGCTGAACCAGCCTGGGGGGAAAGGGTTTGGTGAGGTGGATCATCGTCGTATGGCGGGATTGTAGACGTAGGAATGAGGGGGCAGCCAGGCCTGCGGAGACCTCTCAGGAGTTTAGCTGTGGCGGGAAGGTCCCTCGGGCGACAGCATGGGCTCTGGCATGGAGAGGAGGGGTGAAGAACATTGCCTGATGGTGGCACTGGCTTGGATTTGGGGGGAGGAGAAGACGGAGCCTGAGCCTCC